AAATTATCTGACATAGGCTAAAGCATCGAATTTGGACGAAGAGTTTCGAAACTTTCAATAAATTTTAAATTTTCTATTACGATTTTTTAAACTTTTATTTTTTTTCCAAATATTTAGAAATTTTATATTTTTGTACCTATACCATTCGTGACTAATTACAATCTAAATTAGTTACCAATCAATACATCTTCTCTAAATTGTTTATTAATGATATTTAAGATTACTATTCTTTTTTTTGTATATGTTGTTATATTTTATGATTGCGATCCCTCTATTATTATTAAATTTTAAATTTGTTTGATTTTTAATTTCGATAAGTGAATATGACATTACTTATTTGATTGAACGTACAAATCAAGCAAGGAATGCTACGTTTGTCCATGTTGAGATTTGTTGTATAAACTTGTGTGAGATCCCTTTTGTGTTTCTTCACACTTCTTCCGTCTGTTATTGCTTGATTACCCTTTTCCTAATATGTTCTCTAGGTATGTTCTTTAGTTTAATATACTTTTATTTCATACAAAATATATCGTAGGTTTAAATATTTCCTAGTATATTCAAAGTTCACAAGTTTATACAACGACTAGTTAACTTATTAGAATGGGATATCATAAATGAAATAAATTATTTTAGAAGAATCAAATCAAAAATATATATATCTATAATACTTGATTTGAAATAATTAATTAATATATTAAATATGAGTGATTATAAAAAAATTTATAAGCCATCTACTTTTTTTTTTATCTAAATACATTTGGAAATTCGATTTATACCTATTTAAATGGATTATCTTTAATACCAATTTAATCATTAAAATCAAATAACTGTACAATAATCATCATTAATAAGCAAATGCTTGGGAAAAAATGAAAATAGGAATACTAAAATATTTAAAACCAACCTGGCAGAGTGTCATTGGGCTATGCCCCACTCACATGGAGGTGTCGTGGAGTGGGACAACGAGTACCCTATAGAGGCGCGCGTGAGAAACCTTATCTGCGAGTGGCGTTATCTTCATTACATTGAAAAGAAGGGTTGTTCTTTTCTCTGACACCCCCCATCGCCTACTGCTCGCTTTACTTTTACTATGTGACTCGAAACCAGAGATAAAGACACATGCATGCTACGCTTTTCAACGTTCTAGATTCTCTTAATTCTGTCGTCAAGACACTACCAACCCTTCGATCATTTAACCATGGTTTAACCCTCTTGGCTGGGAAAAACCAACCATGGTTAGTAACTTCAGTTTAGCTCTCTTTCTTTCTCTCTCTTTCAAGTTGAACACATTTCAGCTGTTTTGCTTTTGGTTTTGGTAGAGAGAAGGAAAGAAAGAAAGAAAGAAAGAAAGAAAGAAAGAAAGACAGAGAAAGCGGAAACTTTTCTTTTCTTCTCTTCTCTTCTGTTTTCTTTTTATTTTATAAATTTTCTCTGTTTGTTTGTAAATTATTAAATTTCGATTCAGATAACAGTTCTCCACTTTTGGAAGCTAAAGCTTCTTCAGATCTGTGAAAAGTTTTCTTTCACAGATTTTCCTTTGTTTTATTTTCTCGTTTAAAACTGTAATGTAATTGTAGTTCTTTGGTTTTTTTTTGGAAAGAATCCATTTTTTTCTTTCATTCTCACTTCAAAAATATCTGAGATTTTCTTGAGAGAATTCGAGTTGATTTTCACTCTCTTTCACTCGGGTCCTTGAAAGAGATGCGAAATATTTTGAAGTGAAACCTTCATCTTTCCCCCCACTATGGGTCGTGGTTAAAATCTTCAGATCTGGTCTCATTCTCTTAGTTTTATATCAAGTTCTCTTCCATTTTCATTGTAATTTTTTTTCGTTTTCTTGGGAAAAAGTTGTGAAAAAAACTCTCTATGTTCTGGGGAAGTAGAAAAACAATAAACATGAATTATTTCCCAGATGAAGTTTTAGAGCACGTGTTCGATTTCATTACCTCACACAAGGACCGAAACTCAGTGTCTTTGGTTTGCAAATCCTGGTACAAGATCGAAAAGTACAGCAGGCAAAGGGTTTTCATTGGAAACTGTTATTCCATCAATCCAGAGAGGTTGATTGCCAGGTTTCCAGGTTTGAAGTCACTGACTTTGAAAGGGAAGCCACATTTTGCCGATTTTAATCTGGTGCCAGATGACTGGGGAGGCTTCCTTTACCCTTGGATCAAAGCCATGGCTAAGAGTAGAATTGGATTGGAAGAGCTTAGACTTAAGAGAATGGTCGTGTCGGATGAGAGCCTTGAGCTGCTGTCCAAGTCATTTCCGAATTTTAAGTCTTTGGTTCTCGTTAGCTGTGAAGGTTTCACCACAGATGGTCTTGCTGCTATTGCCGCCAATTGTAGGTAAGATTGTTTTCAAGGCGATTCTCTTTTTATTTGGGTTTTGCTATAACTAGATGTTTATGAAACTCTTAGCTGTTATGGCCGAGTTTTAGTATTCTGATGATGCTATTTCTGGTTGCAATTTGCAACTGCAATTTGTTTTGATGAGCTTGTAGAAAAATATTATATATATAGGTTTGCTACTTGATTTGGTGAATTGTACAGGTGCAGCTTAAGTGACCAAAGTTTCCTTGTACTATGCATCTTCTTAGCTGCAATAATTTATATATTTCAGGATATGATAGTGAAGTGTCTAACAGTGTAGCTTTTAATTCGTTTTCTCTGTTTGCTGTTATTTGGTTCTAGGTTACTTAGGGAGCTAGATTTGCAAGAAAACGAGGTTGATGATCACAGAGGCCATTGGCTTAGTTGCTTTCCTGAGAGCTGTACGTCTCTTGTTTCCCTGAATTTCGCCTGCCTCAAAGGAGAAATAAACTTAGCATCTCTTGAAAGACTTGTGGCAAGATCTCCCAACCTCAAGAGTTTGAGGTTGAACCGAGCAGTACCTTTTGATACGCTCCAAAAGCTGTTGATGCGAGCCCCTCAACTGGTGGACTTGGGCACTGGGTCTTATGTACACGATCAAGCTTCTGAGGTCTATAACAAATTGAAAGCTTCCATTCAAAGTTGCAATTCGATCAGGAGTTTATCAGGGTTTTTGGAGGTTGCCCCTCGTTGTATGCAGGCTATTTATCCAATTTGTGAGAACTTGACCTTCTTGAACCTGAGCTATGCTGCTGGTCTTCAAAGTAATGAGCTCACAAAGCTGATTCAGCACTGCAGGAAGCTTCAGCGTCTATGGGTATGGTCTTTTAATAATTTGCTATCCGGTTGACCATGCCCGTCTAGGCTAATTGAATGACAAATTGACAATAAATGGTTTAACACTCCAAATGTTGCAGATACTGGATTGTATTGGAGACAAAGGACTCGGGGTTGTAGCTTCAACATGTAAAGAGTTGCAGGAATTGAGGGTTTTCCCGTCCGATCCTTTTGATGCCGGAAATGCTGCAGTGACAGAGGAAGGTTTGGTCCTTGTATCTGCAGGATGTCCAAAGCTCAATTCATTGCTCTACTTCTGTCAGCAGATGACCAATGCTGCCCTCATAACTGTAGCCAAGAACTGTAAGAACTTTATCCGTTTCAGATTGTGCATCCTCGACCCCATAAAACCTGACCCTGTAACCAATCAGCCATTGGATGAAGGTTTTGGTGCAATTGTTCGGTCTTGCAAGGGTTTGAAGCGGCTATCAATGACCGGTCTTCTGACAGATCAGGTTTTTTATTACATAGGAATGCATGCCAAGCAGCTTGAGATGCTATCAATTGCTTTTGCTGGTGATAGTGACAAAGGAATGCTTTATGTGTTGAATGGTTGTAAGAAACTTCGCAAGCTAGAGATCAGGGACTGCCCCTTTGGCGATGCAGCACTTCTAGAGGACATGGGAAAGTATGAAACAATGCGATCCCTTTGGATGTCCTCTTGCGAAGTTACACTTGGAGCCTGCAAGACGCTTGCGAAGAAGATGCCAACCTAAACGTTGAGATCATAAATGAAAGCGAGCAAACGGAATTCAACCTCGATGATAGGCAGAAGGTAGATAAGATGTATCTTTATAGAACGGTGGTAAGGCATAGGAAAGATGCACCAGAATTTGTGTGGCTTTTATAGGTGCATTGTTTTGGCACTGCCGTTTTCTTTTCTGCTTATTTAAGTAGTAGCACTTTGTTAGGACAATTAGTCTTTCATGGACCCTTAGCTGGTTGGTGATCTAGATGTTATGCTACCATCGTTTAATTCACAAGTGATTTGCTATTCGTAATCCTTGTTATTTTAAGTCCATCTTTTCTGTGTTGCAAGTTCAACTCGGTTTTCATTGTATCAGTAAATAAGTGTTAACAAGCCTAAAAGAATCCAATTTTCTGTTTTCTTTTGAGCCTGCTTTAAGAAATATGAAATTCCGCATATAATTAAGCAATAAAATTCGAATCTTTAAGCATAAAACAGATTAACCAATGATGAAAAAACAGGGAAATGAAACAGAAAGTCATGGTGGTTCTGGTTCTGTAGTAGTGGAAAATGTTGATAATGAGGATACCTTTCTGCAAAATACCTTTGATACACCTCGAATGGTTGGCGAGGAAGCTGAGGATGGTGGTGGCGGAGGTGGAGCAGAAGGGTATCCTGGTGAGGTTGGTTCTGTATTAGATTATCAAATTACAGGATTACGAATTCCAGAGATGCAAAAAACCAATAAGCAATTGAGCATAATCACGTGTTGATGTGGATCTCTATAAAACTATATTTTAATTGAAAGATCTCAAGCTTCAACAATACAAAATTTATCATCATCAATAAAAAAAAAAGTAGTAATTTTCAACGCGTAATTAAACCAATGGAGAGACGGCTAACAAACCAAAGATGGATGATTCCGTAAGGAGTTTATCAAGTCAAAGTTTTCGCATTCACACACCCCTATCCCCATTAAAGATGCCATTTTTCTTCTACTTCTAGAAATGTTTTACGTGGTTGAGGAACCGATACACGCACTTTGGCTCATCTTTTTTCATATATAACGTACCCTTTAATCTTCCAAAGACTGCAATATTTTTCACATCTAAAACTTTCAACAAAAGAAGAAGCTTAGAGCACAAAAATGAATAGCAACGGCAAAGAATCACAGCCTTATTACCCCACTATTTCCCCTCCAACTGAAGACTACACCAACCCTTTCCATCAACCAAGCGTTCAAGAAACACAGCCTCAGATGCAACCTGCAGCTGCGACGTCGGCACCATCATCGTCATCGCCTCCCCCTCCGGCTGATCAGAATTCTGAGAAATGGGGGACGCATATCATGGGAGCTGCAGCTGCGACGGCAGCACCATCATCGTCATCGCCTCCCCCTCCGGCTGATCAGAATTCTGAGAAATGGGGGACGCATATCATGGGAGCACCGGCCGTTCCCACATGTCATCCGGATAACAAGAAGGCAGCCATGTGGGGCGCTGGTGACCAGGCTCAATACTACCATCATCCGTATCTTCAATATTCCCCCGTGGAAAAATCAAGCAATAGCCCCATGGAATCCATGCTTCAAGTCTTCAACACCTGGAGCCATAAAGCTGAGACCATGGCCAATAATATCTGGCACAACCGTATGTTCAAAACCACCGACAATCATCATTATTATTTGATATTTCCTTAAAATAGTCTTAATTTCTTTCCCTTAACTGTTATTTTTGTGATTGGACAGTTAGAACAGGGTCATCTGTATCGGGAGCTGCCTGGGGGAAGATGAACGTGACGGCAAAAGCAATATCAGGAGGTGGATTCGAGTCTCTTTATAAACAAACATTCGCTACTTATTCAAACGAGAAGCTGAAGAAATCATTCGCTTGCTATTTATCCACTTCCACTGGACCAGTTGCTGGAACTCTTTACCTATCAAATATTCATGTAGCTTTCTGCAGTGATCGTCCCTTGTCGTTCACCGCGCCTTCAGGCCAGGTAACATGGAGTTATTACAAGGTTATGATACCACTGAGCAAAATAGGGATAGTAAACCCTGTAACAATGAGGGAGAATCCATTGGAGAAGTATATACAGATGGTTACGGTGGATGGACATGATTTCTGGTACATGGGTTTTGTGAATTACGAGAAAGCGTCCAAGCATCTGTCTGAGAGTGTTTCCAGTTTTGTAGCCACCGGAGTTGCTGTTCAACCTCCATCTGCTGCATAAACAGAGGATTATAACTATGTAGTTACATGATTCTTTTTCTGTTTGGATATTTTCATAATCTGGCTCAGATGTGTTAGAGTTGTTTGATCGATTGTACCGTTTTTGTAAAAATAAAATGAAACATCTCTTCTTCTGATCTCTCTTCTTCTTGTATGCAATCAGACCGACAATCAAGCTAGGGTATGCAATCAGACCTCATATTCCCCAATCAAGGTTTCAAAACATACATCATAATCCCTACCCTAGCTTGATTGTCTGTCTCAGTCACTTGCACATATGAAGTTGTGTACCCTTGAGTGTATACGGTCGCCTGCACACACATACGTATATATTTCACAAGCCACAACATTAACTAAAGATGGAATATATATGTAAGCATTAAATTTCAAAATTGTAACCCATCCATAAGTAATTACCTGCTTGAATCAAGTCTAGGCCTAGAACTAGGGATAACCTATTTCACCTCCCTCAAAACTAATTTATAACACCCATCTACTTCCCGTCTTCTAGGAAAAATGAAAAAGAAAACCCTATTCTCATTGCAAATAGAGAGAAAGATTCCTGCATAGAGTGTAGACGAGTTATTGATTTGATTTGTCTCAGCTCAACAACTATACTTAGCGCTTCTTCTTGCTTGCTTTTGCAGCACTGGATTTAGATGGGTTTACGATAAGGTAAATGAACAAAACCACTATTGAGACCACAGATATTTGATTTCCATACTGAGCCAGCAACCTCTGCAGACATAAAAGGCTCATATTAATTTGAAGGGCTAGGAAGTAGCCTTTGGACTCTGCAACTCAAATTATGACATGAGAGAAGTTCATACCTAGAAGATTCATCAAAGGTCCATTTATTTTTAATTTTTATATAAGGCGAAATATTAACTTCTACAAACATATCTAAAGAGAAACGATATCCCAAAAAAATAGGATGCATGTAAATAATCTATTCCTGAACCAAATCTGGCCATCTCTGAATGCATGCCAATTCTTATCCATCTAGATTTTAGAAACTTGATTATTTAACAAATATAGAAAGAGTCATACCTTAGCCTTCAGTATTCAATTACAGTCACAACCAAAGCGAGTTCCACAAAAAGAAAAAAAGCCTTTAGTAACATTGGAAACAGGAAAAGGATACTGCAAAACTTCAATTCATTAATTATGGTTATTCTAAACAGAACTTACCTACTCAAACTGCTTCTCAGGAGGTCTTTCAGCAAGGATGTCCAAAGACAAGATTGGAGTTGAATATGCCTCCTAAAAAAACAAAACAAATTGGAGCAGCAAAACTTGTCACCGACCTCTTTCCTATTTCCCCTTAAATGTAAAGGAAATATACTCTGTTATGGATCTCAAACCTGTAGACTGGCCTTTGTGGGAACGCGGTAAGTAATAACTGCTGGGGCACCATTGAACATTCCTTGTTTTTTTGCCTCTAATTCAAATGAATGTGATAGAACACCACTGCTGAAGATCGTAAAGTTTTGCAATTTAATTAATTCAATGTAGGAAGAACAGATTAAATGAAATTACAGAAAGGCAAAACTTACGCATCAAGTCTCTCCCATGACTTTGAAGTGTTACCACTGATGATATCAAACATATCTTGCGGCCAGCTATCATCAACCAGACTCACATCAAATGCTTGTTTTCATTTTTTTTCCCAGAAAGCTTGTTGCTCAAGTCAGATAATATCCCCACACCACAAGAATGCATTAGAAATCATAAGTGCATTGGCAGGATTCAGGAACGTGGAAAAGGGAGAGAAAATATCATGCCTTGTTTTCCTATTACCAAAGCATAAGTTTCTGAAATTTTTACAATTTTCATCTTAGCATTAGTTTGATTATTTAGTAACATCACTCTTTTGCAAGAATTGACATTAATAAATTCAAATTCATGAAGAAGGCGAAATTTTAGAGGGTTAATATTTATAAGAAGGCATATAAAATTTAAGCATCCCAAAGTAAGAGAATCAAATTCACTAGTTATAAAGGAAATGATATTGTTTATTATTACTATTGTTATATTAAAATGATCAGATTTGGAATTTCATCTATCGTCTCTAAAATCCTAATAAAGAAAACTAAATGAAATTCGATTTGTGCTCACTTCCTTTCTCTCGATTTCGAAATTCGGAAAAACAAACAAGCTGCTTATCATGTAAGGCCTAAAAAAGACATGGCAAGCTATCTAAAAGAGAAGGCATAGCTCGAAATTGTAATGAGAATTGAAGATCGGTTCAAAGTTGAGAACTTTCACCTTGATGGAGAAACAGAGCTACATCTGCATTAACAGGATTTAAGGAAAAATAAAATAAAATTGAAGAAAAAGGAAAAGGGAAACGCGCGAAAAGCCTTGATTGTAGATGTCGATAGAGACGGAGACACGTTCGGCACCGGTTTTGAGTCTGTTGAGCGATGCCTTCTTGTGGGCAATAATGAAGGGGGAGTCGCCGGTGGCAGTGGTTGCTGATACAAGAAAAGAATAACAACGCCTCATTCAATGAAGTTCCGGTAAGCGCCTCCATGGTCTGCTGGTAATGAAGATTCATTATTCTATTAATATTTTGAGTTCTATTTAATAAGGAATTGAAATGGTTGAAGAGCTGAATAAACGGACGAGAGTAGGGTTCATAATATTTAGAGTTCTATTTAAATTGACACGTGTCAATTTAAGCATACCTTTTGAAATCTACTATGGAGGATATTTCATAATTCGGAGGGATATTTCATAATTCGGAGGTTTCTTACGGAAGTTGCTCTCAATTTAGTGTTGGGACAGTCTATTATCTTGCCTCCCCCTTACCCCCATTACATTTAGAACAAGGACAACCATAACCATATTTAAATTGACACGTGTCAATTTAAGCATACCTTTTGAAATCCACCATTGTATATATTTAGTTTCTTTTAAACCATATCATAAAACTTACTCGATTGCCAAAAAAAAAATTGTAAGAAAAACCATTACAAAATGAAGTTCTAATATTTTTAAAACATAATATATATATATATATATTAAATAAACATTAAAAGAAAAAAATGTAAATCAAATGATAATACCCAATCAAGATATTAATATAATATCACTTTTTTTAATAGTCTAAAATGATTATAATATATCTATTTATAATCTTGCCGCTCAAACCTAGAACCTTAACAAAAATTAATATTTTCTTCAACTACCGGAACTACTCAATAAATTCAATATCTACTTCTAACAATAAATTTACTATCTACTCAAATCTTAACTTCAAAATAGTAACCTCAATCTTCCATACCCTTCCAAACTTAAAGACATAAAGCTTTTCTCTTTTTTTTTCTTTAACTTTTTCAAATTTTCTTGAAAAATGATGATTTTCACTTTTAAAAACCTTGAATAATATATTCTCTTCACAAAGTTAATCCCTTTGAGTTAAAGATATGGTTTTGCCGCTGGAGGAAAGAAAAATAGAAGAGGTTAATAGATGAAGCAAAACTATTTTTAATTTTTATACAAACGGACTAATTGTTCATTTGGTCCTCCTACTTTTATAACTAAATAAAAAATATTCCTTTTAAACTTGATTTAGTCCAATTTTGTTTTCAATTTAACCCCATCTCAATCCATCATTGCTAAGTAAGTCTGCTACATTATTCCATATCTTTTAAGTATTGATATTTGAAAAATGATTTGGTTCAAATCCCGAATCTTTTTACTTTGAATTACAAAGCACTATGAAAGATCTAAGGAAAATAGTTGTGATATAATGATAGAGAGAAGTATACATTTGTTTTGAAGAAGAAGATGAGTAATAAATACCTAAAATTATGTTTCACAATTTTTTTTGATAGAGTTTAGGCTTTTTAAACCGTGCAAGTCATAGAGTTTAATCCATAATAATGGGCTGCAATGCAAGGTTTGATAATATAAATTTCAAGCACTGGATTAATATTTTATTCGTAAACACTCGATCAATTAATCATTAATTAAATATTATTTTTATAATCCATGTTCTTTGGTTTATTAGTCTACTAATGTATATTGTGTGTTATAAACTTACTATATTTACTGTAATCACCATTTTTACCTCCACGTTCCAGCAGCTTCCAGCAACAACAGCTGGTTCCTCACTCCACACAGCAGCTTCCGGCAACAACATCTGGTTCTCCACTCCACGCAGCAGCTGCCAGTATCCCAGCTCCACCAGTGGTTGGTTTATATTTTAAAATGATGTTTTTTAAAAAATTCTTTTAAAGGCGGTTTTTAGGTATTCAACCTACTTAACCTAAAAAGGTCGATGACGACTCCAAAACATTTCATTGAAAACCATTTATTTATTTATGTTTTTTCCAAGAAACGTCGTATACCGAAAATCGATTACGACATTTCAATGTAAATTCAAATCCTTTCGAGTCGATAAAAATTATTAGAAGTTAATAAAGACTTTATTCGAACTTTCGGAAAGATGAAGTATAATAATAGTACAACACTAAAAAAATGGAATATATTTTTGAATAATGTAGTATAAACAGTTTTTATTATGAAAAAACATAAAATAGATGTGTTATAATATCGGAACGATGATTATCAATAAACAAATAAACGCGATCAAAAAAGAAAAACAAAGAATATCAATATTTACGTGAAAAACTCAAAAATGAAAAATCACGGGCAGAGGAGAAGAATTTCATTAATATAAAGAAAGAAAATACAACAGATTATGGTAAAATAAAAGTTTGATATCTAACTTTGACCCTTAGTATATATTTATATGGATAGATATTTGATTACAAAGGAAAATTAAATAAAATATAAATCTAATTTAATAAAGTTTTCTATTTTTAATCAAACTAGGTTTACTAATTTCCCAAATTTATATATTAATTAATTTGTATCACTTTGAATTTGAGTCAAACTTTAATAATAGGAAAAGAATAATATAAGAATTATATTATTTAGGGTTTTTCATTGTTATATGCATGCAAGCAACCCATTAGAAGGCGATAAGATTCAACCATTACTATACAAAAAAAAAATCAACCACTAAAAGTTAAAACTTAAAACCATGCCCGTTCCAAGGAAAATGAAAATCCTTTTCTTTTTTCTTTCCTTGATGAACAAACAATCTATGTTATTTTCCAAATTAAT